TAACTGTCTGTTGTTTAAGCTACTCAGTCTATGCTGTTTTGTTATAGCAGCCTGAGCTATAAGACACCCGCCAAAATTGCCGGGTTCCAGCCTGAATACCTAGAATCAAGTCTATCGCCGACAGTCCTTTCCAATTGGCATTTTATCACCTCACTTTTAAATAAAAATGGGTAATCAAAGATCATCAAATATTTAAAGAAAGCTTCTAAAATAGAAGAAAAATGAAAGCTTTTAACAAGAAACCTGACTACCAAACAAAGAGAAAAAAGACCTTAGAGGAAAGAGAGACAACACAGGAAAGCAGAGGAAAACAGAAAAAAAACCCAAAAAAACAAAAAAAACCCACGAATATCTCAGAGAGATAAAAGAATGCAATGCCTTCCATAAGCATAGAGGCAACTATAAAAAAAGGAAACTACATGGGGCGCCTGGGTGGCTCAGTGGTTAAGCCTCTGTCTTCGGCTTGGGTCATGGTCCCAGGGTCCTGGGATCGAGTTACATGTTGGGCTCTCTGCTCGGCGGAGAGCCTGCTTCCTCCTCTCTCTCTCTCTGCCTACTTGTGATCTCTGTCAAATAAATAAATAAAATTTAAAAAAAAAAGGAAACTTAATATAATGATTGGAGGTTAAGTTGAAGAAATCCTACATAGAAGAGAACAAAAGACAAACAGATGGAAAGTGGCAGAGAAAGACAGGAAAACCAAAGAATCGGTCCATGAGATCCAATATCTGAACAATACAAAGTTCCAGAAATAAAAAAGAAAGAAAATGGAGGGGATGAATCTTACAGAAATAGTGCTACCAACTTCCAGAACAAAGAAAATGAGTTTCCAGACTGAGAGTCTCCACCAAGTGCCCTTGCCATGAATGAAAAAAGTCCCACATCAGGGCACACTGTCAAAAAGTTTCAGGACAGGGCGCCTGGGTGGCTCAGTGGGTTAAGCCGCTGCCTTCGGCTCAGGTCATGATCTCAGGGTCCTGGGATCGAGTCCCACATTGGGCTCTGCTCAGCGGGGAGCCTGCTTCCCTCTCTCTCTCTCTGCCTGCCTCTTTGTCTGCTTGTGATCTCTCTCTGTCAAATAAATAAATAAAAATCTTAAAAAAAAAAAAAGTTTCAGGACATTAAGGAGAAAGAAGATTTTGGCTTCATTTCAGGCCATTTTGGAGACCAGGTAATTTAAAAGCCTTCTTAATACAAAATATCTAAAAAAAATACTGGCTAAAATATAAACACAAATCCCATCTAACAGCTAAATTCACAAAAATAAATAAATAAAAGGACTCCACAAATGCCCTGAATGATGAGAAAACTGAAAACCACAGTGGTAAAAGCTAATGCTGGCTGCCCTGGGGGAGTTTGTGGGTTTAAAAGAAAAGGGTTTGGGATTGATGAGCCAGATGGGCCCAGGAGATAAGGTTTTGTGCCGGCCTAAAGGAGGGAGATAGAATTGAGAAATCCTGCATGAATCTAGGAGAAAAGGTAAATTAGAAAATAATCTATCCACCAAAAGAGACAAAGGGGGAATACTGTCTATATTAGCTTGGGCTCTGCATGACAGAAGTCTTCTCTGAGAACTCATAACCACAGGCCTCTCAAGAATCTGGAATTCAAATTCACGTTACTTATGTGGTCTAAAAACCCATGATCACCACTGCCAAGCAGAGAAATTAAAGTAAAAAATAATCCCAGCTCATGTCTTTGGCATACCTTAAACAATCAAATGCAAAGCAGTTCTAGAAGTACATAGCTTAGTTCAAGGTTCCAAGAATTTCCTCAGATAAAGCATCCTCAAACATTAACTCACCTTCCAACATTATAAAACACATGAAGGAAACAAACCACCGTGCGTAAGAATCAACAGAAATAAGAGACACCAAAATTGGATCCCCAGGAGCTTCAAACAGAATAATCATATAGACTATAAAATAATTACTTCAATTATTAAATGCTTTATTTCACTAAAATCAGTATTTAAAATACTGAGAGAAAATAAATGTCCACTTAGAATTTTGTATCTGATTGAACAATTATCCAAGAGTGAGGGCAAAATAAAGGCATCTTTCTTTTTTTTTTATTCCCCCTCTTTTTTTTCCCCTTGAGGGCAAAAAGGGTAGAGGGAGATGGAGAGAATCCTAAGCTGGGTCCATACCCATCATGGAGCCCGACACTGGGCTTGATCCCACAACCCTGAGATTACAACCTCAGCTAAAATCAGTAGTCAAGAATCAGATGCTTTGGGGCGCCTGGGTGGCTCAGTGGGTTGGGCCGCTGCCTTCGGCTCAGGTCATGATCCCAGGTCCTGGGTTCAAGCCCCACATCGGGCTTTCTGCTCGGCGGGGAGCCTGCTTCCTCCTCTCTCTCTGCCTGCCTCTCTGCCTACTTGTGATTTCTCTCTGTCAAATAAATAAATAAAATCTTAAAAAAAAAAAAAAAAATCAGATGCTTTACTGACTGAGCCACCCTTTTTTTCAACAAAGAAAACCAAAGGCATTTTTTCAAACAAAGAAAACCCATTTATCCACAAGCACTTCTTACTAAAGGACTTCACAGAGGTGTACTTTGGGATGAAGGAAGCTAGACTCAGAAGGACTGAAATGCCAAAAATTTGGCAAAAATATGTATAAATCTAAACAATCACTGACTGTATAAAACAACAATAACAATGACAAATTTGGAAGTAAAAAAGACAGACAATCAGTGTTGCTAGACGGGGGAAGGGGTGGTTCAGAGATAGACCAGTCTAGGCCCTTATCGTGTTCAGGTGGAAGGCAGAAATATTTACAGCATCGGACTTTGCTACAGTACACTGGAAACTACAAGAAGTGGAACATGGTTGAATCACTATATTGTACATTTGAAACTAATATAACACCAGATGTTAATTATACTGGAATTAAAAATTAAAACAAAACAAAAAGATTTGTACACTTAAAAAAAAGTGGAATAGGTCTTCAAAATTCTGAGGAAAAATGATTTCCAACCCAGAACTCTTTAACTCTTTATCATTCAAATGTTAAGGTAGAATAAAAAATTGTCAGGGAGCCTGGATAGCTCAGTGGATTAAGAGTTTGCCTTCAGCTCAGGTCATGATTCCAGAGTCCTGGGATTGAGCCCCACATGGGGCTTCCTGCTCAGTGGGGAGCCGGCTTTTCCTTCTCCCTCTGACCCTCCTGCGCAACCCCCCTACCCCGTGTTCTCTCTCCCTCTCTCAAATAAATAAAATCTTTAAAAAAAGAGTGAAAAATTATCAGACCTGCAGGTCTTGAAAAATTTATCTGTCATATACCCTTTCTCAGGAAGCTATATTAGAAGATGTACTCCACCAAAATGAGGAAATAAATAAGGGAGAAGAAAATAGGAATTTGGAATGTAGGGGATCCTACACAGGAAAGAAGCAAAGGGAAATCCATAAAATGATGAAGGGAGATTCTAGGATGAAATCAGTGCAACAAGCCTAGGCATAGCTGGGCCAGACTGGAAGACTAAGACAAATGGTTTCAGAAGGTTTGTCTTCCAAAGAAGAAACCAATGGATTCTTTGATGAGCTTGAAGGCACTGAGGGAAGGTTTGTAATTCTGGTAAAATCTGGACATGAATTAGTGATTATTCACAGAAAATGAGATATATTTCCTACTTTACTACATGGGTCATCTGTGAATAACCATAATAATGATAATGCAAATAAATGAGTGACCAATCAAAAATGACTACATATAGGGGTGCTGGGGTGGCTCAGTGGGTTATCATAGCTCAGGTCTGTCTCAGGGACCTGAGTTTGGGCCCATGTTGAGCTAAAACAAACAAATGAACAAAAACAGACTTTATATACACTAGGAAGAGTAGAGATGAGGAGGGAAATGTGCGCGCGCGTGTGTGTGTGCGCGCACGCACACACTCGCTGCAGGTAAGTGGGGAGAGAGCAAAAAATATTTTCCATGCTAGGAAATTAATAGATATAATTTAAGTTGAAAACAACAAAAGCAGTAGGAGTAGGCTATTTGGAAATAAGTAGGTAAATACTAGAAGAAATAGCTAAAACAGCTGTAAACAACGGCACCCTAGGTAGTGGCAATCAGGAGGAACAACTCCCACTGCGGGGGTGGGGGGTTGGGGTGGTGGTGGTGGTGGTGGTGTGTGTGTGTGTGTGTGTGTGAGAGAGAGAGAGGGAGGGATGGAGACCTGGCCTTTTAAAATGATGTAACCATAAAATTGTGATAAAAATTGTTTTAAAATCCTCTAAAATTCACACATAGTCATATTACAGTGAATTTTAAGAACAAATATAAAGAGAATCATCTAAAATGTTCTCATGAAAAAAGCAGGTCACTTACAAAGGAACAAGAATCAGACCAACATCAATTATCAAAGGCTCTACTTTCTGCAGAAAGAAAATACTGTAATTTTTCACTGTGTTGAAGGAAAAGAACTTTGACTTAAGAATTTTAACACAACGGTGAAATCAAGATATTCTCAGGCATAAAAGCCTCAGAAAGTTCATCCCATAAAGGCCCCTTTTGAAAACACTCTTGGAGAAAAGTTCTCCAGCAAAGGAAGAGTGGATCACTTAGTAAAATACATTAACGTTCAAAGGCAACAACCAAAGCCTGTATCTGTAATTATCCAGAACTAAAACTGTAAGATATAGAAAGAAGTGCGAGGGGGAGTATTGAGGGAAGTGAGCATGTGCTGAAATACGTTATCTATTTCGGTGTTTAAGTTTATGGTAAAAATAACCATGAATGTGGGCTTAATAAAATACTCTACCCTGACTCCCCATCTGCTAATCTTGTTCGTATCATCAGACTGAAAGCTCTTATTTGACCTTTAACATGAATTCCTAACTGATTTAATGACATCCCACCATACACACACACTCAAAACCACTAAATAATTAGAAAACCCTAACAGCGCTAACATTTCTCGACCTTTCCATCCCAAGAGACTCTGGTGCAGGATTAGCAACTTCGACCTCGCATCCCTAGTTGTTACCTGTTACCTACCTAGGTCCGGAGCCCGGAGCCTACTCTCAGCCATAGAACTCTGCAGCTCAGAGAATTTGCCGTCGCCTAAGAAAGGACAAAACAGCAGCAGAACCACCTGCATTAGCCTTCGACCTTCTATCATCCCCTCCCCCCGCCTTCCAATTCCCGCACAATCTCCGGCGCGGCTCCCGGGTACAGCAAGCCTCAAATCCATCCCAATCCACATCCCATCTCACCTCCCGCACCCCCTTCAAGGCTCTGGTCCCTCAGTCCCACCGCCTCCTCTAGGACTGCGCTCTCAACTCCCACGGCCTCTTGGCCACTCTTTGTACGTTTCAATTCCCGTGCCTCCCTCCGGGTTCTTGTCCCCTCAGTCCCTCCGCCCCCTTGAGTCCTCTGCCTCCTCAACTCCTGGGAGCTCTTACCGTCCCTCTACCCTCCTCGGCTTCTGCACCTATCCGCTCCCCAATTCCTGTGCACCTTCCCCATCCTTTAGCCTCTCTACACTCTCACGACCCCTTCCGCCTACCTTCTTACCCCATCTTCCCCTTCCCGGCATCCGTACCCTTTTCTGGCACCCTCAAATTCTTGGCTCCTTCTCGGCCTCCGTATTCCTTCCTCAAGGCCTCCGCGTTGTATTCGCGGGCTCCATGAGCGATTTCAGACGTCCGAGGGCCCAAGGCAACTTCACGAGTACATTATCAGTCTCCAGGCGTCAGCGGCGGCGGCCGCGGCTTCGGTTTAAATTTCCTGTTGGCCCCGCCCCCTAAAATAGCGTAATAGCTGTGAGGGGCTGCCCTACGGTGGCCCTGCGAGGTCAATATTAACTCGGCAAAGGCTCCCTTTCCCCCTTCCTTTTCAGTTCCGCTTTCTCCACTGTCTCTTCATTTCTTGGTTTGCCATTGGGTGGAGGAGATACCCTGCGCCTTAAAAGACAGGAAACTGGGGACTAGTGGTAGCCTAGCCTTAGTGATTCTTCACACTAAGCTGGTTGGAAATTCTTGGGAGTTAGATAATAAATAACAAGACAAGCCTAGCACTTACAGAACATTGACAATTTACAAACAAAAGAACAACAACCCATGAACACTTCATTTCATCTTCACATCTTTGTTTCACTCCCTTTTCTCCACTTACCTACCTCCAAAAAAAATTCTCAAAAGAGGTGTCTCCATTCTTCACTTCTTATTCCCAACTCACGTACTTAGACTTTGATCCTCATCTATCCACTACAACTATACTTGTCCAGGTCAGCTATAACTTCCATGTTCCCAAATCCTAAGGTCACTTTGCTATACTCATCCTGTCTGACTTCTAGAACACTGAAACAGACTATTCTCACCTTCTTGAGCCAATGTCTTCATTTTGCTTCTATTTCTACCAGTTTTCACCTTCCCTCAATGATTCCTCAATCTCCTTTGCTGGATCCAAAGGCATTGTCCCACCTATACATGTTGCAGCATGCCAAGGCTTTAGACCTTAGCCCTCTTCTCTTCCATATTAACACTTTCTCCCTGGAAGATCTCATTCAACTCCATGGCTTTACAATTGGCTCTATGCTAATGCCTGCAGTATTTCTATCTCTACCTCTGACCTCTCCCTTGATCTCCAGACTTATATACCCAAGTGGCTACTGAACATTTCTACTTGGATGTCCAATGGACAACCTCAGGCTTAATATGTTCAAAACAGAACATTTGCTTCACCCACCCACCCCTCAAAAAACCCACCTATTCTCCATCTCAGTACATGTCTTACAATCCACTCAGTTGCTCAAGACAAAAACCTAGACATTATTTCAGTATTTGCCCTTATCCCCACCCCTACTCCAAAAACAAATTCTGCCAACTCCAAAGTACATCTTGAATCAGACCACTGCTATCATCTTGGTTTGAGCCACCATACCTTCTTGCCCAAAGCACTGTGTTAATTTCTAACACAATTTCTAACACGTGTTTTGTTTTTTTTTTTATTTTAAGGTTTTATTTATTTATTTGACAGAGAGAGAGAGAGCACAAGTCGGGGGAGTGGAAGAGGGAGAAGCACGCCTCCTGCAGAGCAGAGGCCATGATGTGGGGCTTGCTCCCAGGACCTTGGGATCATGACCTGAGCCTGAGGGCAGACACTTAACAACCGAGCCTCCCAGGCACCCCTCTTATTTATTTATTTTTTTTAAATTAAGTAAACTCTACCCCTAATGTGGGGCTTGAACTCATGACCCTGAGATCAAGAGCTGCATATGCTACTACTGACTGAGACAGCCAGGTGGCCCAACACTACTTTTACTCTTGAGTACCTTCCTACATCTCCTCAAAGTAATCCATTCTCCATGCACAACTGGAATGATATTCCTTAAATACCATGACGCATATGCAAATTATCACATATACTTTGTATCCCCTCCAGCAGGATCTCTCCCTGTACTAGCTTATACATACCAGCCCTGATGAACTAAAGCTTGACCATGTGACTTGCTTTGGCTGATGTAAAAAGAAAAAAAATTCACATCACTTCCAAGCACAAGTTTTAAGAGACAGGATCATTTACCAAGTTCTTTCCCCCCATTACAATGACTAACAATGTCCTAGCTAGAGGAAGACCTGACAGCTTGGGTTCCTCAGTCGAGATGACATAGAACTGGGGCGCCTGGGTAGCTCAGTGGGTTAAAGCCTCTGCCTTCAGCTCAGGTCATGATCCCAGGTTCTGATCCCAGCTCCTGGGATCGAGCCCCAAATCGGGCTCTCTGCTCAATAGGGAGCCTGCTTCCCCCACTCCCCTCTGCCTGTCTTTCTGCCTACTTGTGATCTCTGTCCGTCAAATAAATAAATAAATAAAATCTTAAAAAAAAAAAAAAAGATGACATAGAACAGAACCATGGGCAACCCCAAATGGATTTATAGCATAAGTAAGAAATAAACTTCTGTTATTTTAAGCTACTGAGATCTGGGTATCATTTTTTACATCATAATCTAGTCCAAGGTTCCCAAAGTATAGCTCATCCCTTTCAAAAGGCTCTAGGAAGTCAAAACTATTTTTATAATAACACAAAAGACATTATTTTCCATTTTTTGTTCTCATTCTCTCATGAATAGTTTAGTGGAGTGTGCAGAAGCAAAAATAAGAATCCAACACTCTTTTGTCAAACCAGTTATTAAAAAGATTTGGAGGGGTGCCTGGGTGGCTCAGGCGTTAAGCGTCTGCCTTCTGCTCAGGTCATGATCCCAGGGGCCTGGGATGGAGCCCCACAGGGGGCTCTCGGCTCAGCCAGGGGCCTGCTTCTCCTTCTCCCACTCCCCCTGTTGGTGTTCCCTTTCTCACTGTGTCTCTCTCTGTCAAATAAATAAAATCTTGGGGAAAAAAAAAAGATTTGGAGAAATGTAAAACAATGTCATTCTTCTGATTGTTTTTGTCTTGGAAAATACATATATTTTTTAAAGTTTTATTTATTCATTTGAGAGAGAGAGAGAGAGTATGTGAGTGGGGGGGAGCTGAGGGAGAGTGAGAGGAGCAGATTCCCTGCTGAGCCGGGTGCCAGACTCAGGGCGCGATCCCACTACCCTGAGACCATGACCTGAACTGAAACCAAGAGTCAGATGCTTAACTGACTGAGCCACCCAGGCACCCCAGATAATATATTTTCATTAAAAATTCATTATTTATGTTAACAGATAGTGGGCTTATTTTTAAACAAACAATATACAGTTTTTTAAAGATTCTATTTATTTATTTATTTATCTATTTGACAGAGAGAGGGAACACAGCAGGGGGAGTGGGAGAGGGAGAAACAGGCTTCCCGCTGAGCAGGGAGCCTGATTCGGGGCTCGATCCCAGGACCCTGAGATCACGACCTGAGCCGAAGGCAGAGGCTTAACAACTGAGTCACCCAGGTGCTCCAACAATATTCATTTGAGAGTACAAGCAGTTGCGCTCGTGCATCAGTGCACGTGGTTAGGGGCGGGAAGAGGGATAAATCTTCAAGCAGACTCCCTGGGAGAATAGAGCCATATTTGGGGCTTGATCTCAGGACCCTGAGATCATGGCCTGAACTGAAACCAGCACTTGGATGACCAACTGACAGAACCACCCAGGTGCCCCTATGAACAATATTTTTAAGCTTTAATTTCTAATATGGTAATATCACATATTTTATTTTCTAAATATAATACAAATATAAAAAATACATTTACTTTTATAAATTTAAATAAAAAAATATCCGCATTTGTGGTGCCCATCTCAATTGGATGGGGGGGGTCCCCAAATGTGGGGCCACTCAATCTGATGGAAGCCAATGGCGTGGGCAGTGAAAGGATCCACTGGAGGCAGAACAAAGGAGATAGAAATTTACCAAAATACACCGCAAGGGAGCAGCGGGCAGGGCCACAAAGGAGAGATGGCTGGCAGCGAGGCAATGGGTAGGGGCTGTTTTTCAAGAAGGACAGTGAGGAGGTGTGGGAACATATGGAATTTTCCCTTTTTTTGGTACCTGTGCCTGGTTGTAAGTAGCCCGTTGGTTGGTTAGGGCCTATGGATAGTTTGAGGTGGGTCACCTGATGGGCGTGTCTGTATCTCGCAGGAGGGCTGGGGTCTCTGTGGGCCCTTCTACCTTACTCAGGTTTCCACTGTTCAAACATGTTGCCTAAAAGCAGCCGCTAAAACGCTGTGGTAGCCAGTCTCCCAAGATGGCCTGCAGGGACGTATGTCTCCTGGCAATCGCGACCACATCAAATAGGGCTAAGAACCAACAGAATATTCAGGAAAGAGCAATGCGCCACTTCTCAGTCTGGGTCGTAAAACATTTCAGCATATGCGTTGCTGTTTCTTGGACCACCTGCTGTGGGGGAAGCCAGCAATCATGACATGAGAAGGTTCGAGTATGCCTATGGAGAGGCTCTCATGGAGACTGAGAGGAATGAAGTCTTCCTGCTAAGAGTCAGCAACAACGTAACCGCTAACGTGACTGAGCCATCTTGCAAGGAGATAGTTCAGCCCTAGCCGAGCTTTCTGAAGACTGCAACCTCACAAGCGATCCCAAGACAGGAAAGCCCAAGCAAGCCGCTCCCAAATTCCAGACCCATAGAAATCCAGTGAAAATCAGTGATTGGTGGTTAAGTCATTACATTTTGGGGCGAGACAGCAACAGATAACTGATAGACACATCAATTATTAAAAAAAGCTGTTTGGGGTCCTCCATTATGGATCAAATTCCCCTCCCTTTCAAAACCATCCAGTGGCTTTCCTTGTTAGCTTCTCTGACCATACTTCCCTGTATCTTGAATGAGCCCAACATGTTGCTACTTTAGGGCCTTTATCCCAACAGCTCCATTTCCCAACTCTTCTCTCTTCTTTTAGACATTAGATCAAATCTCATATTTTCAGATAGGACTTTGGAGACCACCCATCCTAACACCAGCTCGCCTATTTCTTATTTTCTTCACAGCACTTACCACCATCAGAAACTTTCTTATTTGTGTACTGGTCTATATTTGTCTATATTTCCCCAGCTAGAATGCAAGCCCATAAGAAGGACCTTTTCTTTTCACTTACTGCTATATCCCCAAAGTAAAGAACCCAGCAGGTGCTTACTAAATATTTATTAAATGACCAGATCCCTGAATCTCTTGGATCTTCATTTTTTTCATTTGTAAAATGAAGATAATATTATCTACCAGAAAGTGAGGTTTTAAATATTCAACATGTGTTAAACACAATCAGTGACTAGAAAAATGTACCTTTTACTACTGGGCAGAAAATGTTTTGAGATAGTAATTCAAAATTTTCTTTCTTACCATTTTTCTCCATTCCTGAGGGGAAGTGCTTAAAATTAAAAAAAAAAAAAAAAATCAGCTCCTATCATAAACACGGACTGATTTCCCAATATCTAAAAAAACAAAACAAAACCCTATACAAATAGATACAGAAAAGAACCCAGCTGAAAATGGGTAAGAGAATAGGCATGGAAAAAGAAATACAAAGAGCATTCAAATAGACTCAACCTCGCTTAAAATAAGAGAAATGCAAATTAAATCTACTCGGAAATGCCGCTTTTCATTTAACAGACTGGCAAAGATCAATTTGCTAGATAGTGCCAAATCACCTTACATCGGGGTTGTAACAGCCTCCTATGTAAGGCAATTTGGCACTACTAGCAAAATTACAAATGTATGTATCTTTCCAACCAGCAATCTCATTTCTAGGAGTGACTCTACAGATATGCTCACACATATGTGCTAGGATTTATGCAACACCTACTGCAGCACTGCAGTATCTACCAGCTGGATGGTGTTTACTAGAGAAATACTTAAAAAATAATGACACAGGGGCGTCTGGGTGGCTCAGTCGGTTGGGTGACGGCCTTCGGCTCAGGTCATGATCCCAGAGTCCCAGAATCGAGTCCTGCATTGGGCTCCCTGCTCCATGGGGAGTCTGCTTCTCCCTCTGACCTTCTCCCCCCTCATGCTCTCTCTCATTGTCTCTCTCTCAAATAAATAAAATCTTTTTAAAAAAAAAGGGATGCAGTCATATATGCATATATATATTTAATTTATTTAATAAATACCAATGTAGTGCTTCTTTATGATATTCAGAATGCTTTTTTTGGGAAAAATTTTATTTATTTATTTGTGAGAGATAGAGTGAGCAAGAGAGAGAACACAATTGGGGAGGAGCAGAGGGAGAGGAAGAAGCAGACTCCCTGCTGAGCAGGGAGCCCGCCCTGGGGCTCAATCCTGGGACTCCAGGATCATAACGTGAGCTGAAGGCAGATGCTTAACCAACTGAGCCACCCAAGCGCCCCTCAACGTGCTCTAAAAATTGTAATTAATTTCATCCTCATAAAACCCCTGTGAGGTGGGTAGTTAGCTACGCCCATTTTGCACATGGGGACACTGAGGTTATAACTTACTTGCAGTCACACAGCCAGAAAGTGTTAGTGCTGGTATGTGAACCCAGGCAGTCTGACTTCAGATGCCATGCTCTTAACACTGCTCTGTGGGTAACAAAGTCAAAGAAAACCAATACAGCAATATTAAAATCTGACAAAATTGATTTTTTGGAAGATTTTATTTATTTGACAGAGAGAGACACAGTGAGAGAGGGAGCACAAGCAGGGGGAGTGGGAGAGGGAGAAGCAGGCTTCCCATCAAGCAGAGTGCCTGATGCGGGGTTCGATCCCAGGACCCTGGAATCATGACCTGAGCCAAAGGCAGACACCTAACGCCCTTGAAAAAATTGATTTTTTTTTAAGATTTTATTTATTTATTTGACAGAGAGAAATCACAAGTAAGCAGAGAGGCAGGCAGAGAGAGAGGAGGAAGCAGGCTCCCTGCTGAGCAGAAAGCCCGATGTGGGGCTCGAACCCAGGACCTGGGATCATGACCTGAGCCGAAGGCAGCGGCTTAACCCACTGAGCCACCCAGGCGCCCCTTAAAATTGATTTTAAGAGGTAAAGAATTGTTAGGGATATAGGTGTCACTGCTTGATGATAATTCACCAGGAACTAAGTAACCTAGTATTGTATGAACCTAAACAACATAACCTTAAAATATTTAAGGCAGAAAAAAAATATTTAAGGCAGAAATACAAGGGAAGGGGCACCTGGCTGGCTATGTTTGAAGAGCATGTGTATTCATTTAAGGTCATACATTTCCCTCTAGTTACTTTAGCTGAATTGTATTTTTTTATTTTTATTTTTTCAAAGATTTTACTTATTTGACAGAGATCACAAGTAGGCAGAGAGACAGGCAGAGAGAGAGGAAGGGAAGCAGGCTCCCCGCTGAGCAGAGAGCCTGATGTGGGGCTTGATCCCAGGACCCTGGGATCATGACCCGAGCCGAAGGCAGAGGCTTTAACCCACTGAGCCACCCAGGCACCCCACTTTAGCTGAATTTTATAGCATGCGAACATGAGTGAGGGAAGGAACAGAGGGAGAGGGACAAGTAGACTCCTAACTGAGCACAGGGCCCAGCGTGGACTTGATTTCACAACCCTGAGATCATGACCTGAACCAAAACCAAGAGTTGGATGCTTAACCGACTGAGCCACCTAGGCACCTCTCTTCAAACTTTTTTTTTTAATATTTTATTTATTTATTTGATAGAGATCACAAGTAGGCAGAGAGGCAGGCAGAGAGAGAGAGGAGGAAGCAGGCTCCCTGCGGAGCAGAGAGCCCGATGCGGGACTCGATCCCAGGACCCTGAGATCATGACCTGAGCCAAAGGCAGAGGCCCAACCCACTGAGCCACCCAGGCGCCCAACCTTTTTTTTTTTTTGTAAATTACTTCATTGCTAAAAAATGCTAACCATCATTATTCACTTTTTAATCTCCCCTTTTATAGTTATCTTTTTATATGCCTTATGATGGACATAGTAATTTGTTATAGTGATTCATAAACAAATACATTCATACATCAGACATGCCTAGTGAAATATTTTTCCTGCTAAGAGTATGTGGCAAAAATATGTTTGATGCTGGGTTCCTGGGTGGAACAGTCAATTAAGCGCTGGATTGTTTATCAGGATGGTTTCAGATCAGGTCACGATCTCACGGTCGTGAGATTGAGCCCTGCATCAGGCTCTGCACTCTGGGGAGTGGGCTGGAGATTCTCTCTCTCCCTCTACCCCTCCCCACCGCTCATACTCTCTCTCTAAAATAAATAAATAAATCTTAAAAAAATATATATGTTTGATGCTTACCTGCCTAGAGAAACTTTCCCACAAGCATATAAAGAGACATATATAAGAATGTGAATTGAGGGCTCCTGGGTGGCTCAGCCAGTTAAGCGTCTGCCTTTGGCTCAGGTCCTGGGATCAAGCCCCACATCAGGCTCTCTGCTCAGTGGGGGCCTGCTTCTTCCTCTCCCACTCCCGGTGCTTGTGTTCCCTCTCTCGCCCTCTCTCTGTCAAATAAATAAAACCTTAAAAAAAAAAAAGTGAATTGAAGCAGTATTTGGGAAACTGGAAAATAATCTAAATGACTACCAACAAAGGAATGGATCAGCTGGGATATGCAAAGAGTGGTTTAAATGAATGGATAAGGGGCGCCTGGGTGGCTCAGTGGGTTAAAGCCTATCCCTTCAGCTCAGTTGATGATCCCAGGGTCCTGGGATTGAGCCCCGCATCGGGCTCTCCGCTCAGCGGGGAGCCTGCTTCCCCTCTCTGTTTGCCTCTCTGCCTACTTGTGATCTCTGTCTGTCAAATGAATAAATAAAATCTTAAAAAAACATAATTGAATGGATAAAAGCTACATGTATCAACATGGGTAAGTATTTTAAACAATTTTATGTGAAAAAAAGCACACTGCAGGATGAAAAGTCCCACATGCAAAAATAATGTGACATGTTGTCTACAGATATATATATATGTTTGGGTAAATACACACACATGTTGTATTATATACTATGTTTCAAACATTCCAGAGGAGGATAAACACCAAATTCAGAAATAGTGGTTACCTCTGGGGAGGAAGGGAAGAAAATGAGATTGGAGAAAGTATGCAAGTAGGTTTTATCTCTGAAAAGAAAAAAAAATGTAAGGTAAATAAATAAATAGCTCATAATTTTATTTAAGATTTTATTTGAGAGAGAGAGAGAGAGAGAGCAAGCGAGTATGAGCGGGGGTGGGGCAGAAGGAGAAACGGACTCCCCACTGAATGCAGAGCCTGATGCAGGGTTCAATCCCAGCACCCTGAGGTCAAATCAAGAGTTGGATGCCTAACTGACTGAGGCAGCCAGGCACCCCGCTCATAATTTTAAAACAAGATGTACTGACACTAGTCTCCCTGGGTTCTCCTCCTCAGTGTCAACCATCCTCTTACTCCTTGTCTGTGATTCCAGATATATTTTATGCACATGCTAGGACACGAATGTATATATATATTCCCCCACCCCACGTTCTTTTCAAACACAATTGGTAGCAAACATTACATACTGTTCTGAGCCTCACTTTTTTCTTTAACAATGTAGCTTGAGTTTTGCTACCTGTCAGTACATTAAGAGCTTCTTCCATTTTTACAGCTGTCCAGTACTCCTTTTTGTGACTTTTTTCTTTTTAAAGATTTTATTTATTTATTTGTCAGAGAGAGAGAGAGAGAGAGAACACAAGCAGGCAGTGTGGCAGGTAGAGGCAGAGAGAGCAGGCTCCCCACTGAGCAAGGAGCCCAATGCAAGACTCGATCCCAGGACTCTGGGATCATGACCTGAGCCAAAGGCAGAGGCTTAACCAACTGAGCCACCCAGGCATCCCTTTTTGTGACTTTTTTGAGCCCATCTCCCATTGACAGAATGGAGACTATTTCTGTCTTTTCACTACAATAAGCATCACTGTAACGAATAGCCTTATAAATAGGTCATTCTGCACACATGTATGTATTATAATAAATTCCCAGAAGTAGAAATGCTGGGTCTTTTCAAATTGCCCTCCAATTAGATTGTACTGATCTACTTCCTGCTCTCACATTTTCCAGTGCCTGCAACTCAATCACAGATCAACACAGCATATTATCAGCCTTTTTTTTTTTTTAAAGATTTTATTTATTTAGTTATTTGACAGAGACAGAGAGGGAACACAAGTGGGGGTACCTGGAGAAGGAGAAGCAGGCTCCCTGCTCAGCAGGGAGCCCGACGTGGGGCTCGATCCCAGGATGTTGGGATCATGACTTGAGTAGAAGCCAGATACCCAAAGACTGAACCTCCCAGGTGCCTTTAAAAATATATATATATTGCTTTTTTTTTTCTTTAAAAAAAATACCTATTTTTTAATTTGAGAGCGAGAGAGGGAGCAAGCAAGAGAGAGCACAAACTGGGTGAAGGGCAGAGGGAGAAGATTCCCCACTGAGCAGGGAGCCTGATGTGGGACTTGATGCTGAGACTCCAAGATCATGATCCGAGTCAAAGGCAGATGTATAACAGACTAAGTTACCCAGGTACCCTATTATCGGCCTTTTTGATCTGAGAAGTAAACATTGTAGCTCATTCCAAGTTTAATTTGCATATTTAAAAAACTATAGGTTGGCATCTTTTTATAGATTAAAAATAATTTTGATTTTTTTCTGTAAGCTTTCTGCCACCTTTCCAGTTGTATGATTTTTTTCTTAACCACAAGCAATTACTTTTGTAATAAAATAGCCAATGAGGATTTCTTTTTTAACTTTTTTTTTTTAAGATTTTATTTTTTGATTTGACAGAGAGAGAGAGAAGGAACACAAGCAAGGGGAGTGGGAGAGGGAGAAACAGGCTTCCTTCCCAGCAGGGAGACCAACTTGGGGCTCAATCCTAGGACCTGAGGATCATGACGTGAGCCGAAGGCAGACGCTTAACAACTGAGCCACCCAGGTGCCCCAATAAATAACTCTTAAAAAAAAAAAAAATCCTCGGAATGCCTGGGTGGCTCAGTCGTTAAGTGTCTGCCTTTGGCTCAGGTCATGATCCCAGGATTCTGGAATCGAGCCCTGCATTGGGCTCCCTGCTCCGCAGGAGGCCTGATTCTCCCTCTCCTGCTCTTGCTGTCTCTCTCTCTCTATCAAATCAGCAATGAAAATCCTTACAGATTTATTGATTTGAGAGAGAGAGAGAGAGAGAGAATGTGCAGGAGGGCCAGAAGGAGAGGGAGAGAGAAACTCAAGCAGGTTGTGTGCCCAGCGCACAGCCCAATGTGGAGCTGGATCTCAGGACCCTGAGGTCACAACGGAAGCCGAAACCAGGAGTCGAACCCACTGTGCCACCCCGGCACCCTCAAGTATCTTTTTTAACACAGAGTCTGAAGAGCCTTCACTCAGTTTTGTGAGACGTTCCTAAGTCCTTCAAAAATCTTTGTGCATGGGGCACCTGGGTGGCTCAGTCATTAAGCATCTGCCTTCTGCTCAGGTCATGATCCCAGGGTCTTGGGATTGAACCCTGCTCTGCAGAAAGTCTGTTCTCCCTCGCCCACTCCCCCTGCTTGTGTTCCCTCTCTCGCTATATCTCTCTCCATCAAATAAATAAAATCTTAAAAAAAAAATCTTTGTGCATACTACCAATACCGATTTCCCAATTTCGATACTGTACTATAGTTATATAGATAGTACCATTGGAGGAAACCGGGTAAAGATGGACTATTTTTGCAATTTCCTATGAGCCCATAATTATTTCAAAATAAAAATTAAAAGCTAACAAAATTTCATGGCACTTTTCTGGGGGTTCTGTACTGACCTCAAACTATGACCCTTGAGTCATAATGGCTCCCAACTCTTGTCAACTGACAATCCCCAATGGACAACCACCATTGGACAAAGCTCCATTAAACATTTACCTCACTATATTGTCATTAAACACTGCCTGTTCCCACCAGACTCTACCTTTGAGGGTAGAGATTCTGTGATATTTCTATCTTTGTATTTTCAGAGCCTAGGAACTACACCATGCTGTAGGTACTCAAATATTTAGTGAATGAGAGAGTCAGGTCAGTGACCTACCAGCCTCTTTGTAGTTCAGGAAAAGCCAACCTAACTTCTTGGGTAATTCACTTTGGCCAGGAACCAGGTGTTTCCCAGAGTCAGCTGAGGCTTGTGCACAGGCCTCTGGTTAGGCTTCCTGTAGCTGTAGGGCTTGTGCCTCGGTTTCCTTCCCTTTAATACAAGGACAATACAAGTATCTCCTCACAGAGTTGTTGCGGGGATTACAAGCAGTAATGCATCAAAAGCTCTTGACACAGAGCCCGGCAAAGAGTAGAGAAGGCTCCTCAGAAATAGACAGGCGTTTTAAGTGTTGAATGAATGAGTGAAAAATGACTTGAGGTTGCCTGATCATTTATTGAGCACCTACTATGTCCGATACTACTTGCTAAATGCACAGAAGCAACCGCAGCACATTGCAGCGGTCTTAACACAGGCTTCAGGGAACCGGGGAAGGTTCTTTGGAGCTTGAGTTTTGAAACGGACGGAGCTTGGAAAGGCGAATGTGGTGCTTGTTGATAGAGACGGTGGGCATCCGGGACAGTCAGCCGGTTCCCTCTGGAAAGCCGTTTGGGAGAGGGCGACTTAGTATCTGTCCCACCAGGGCGCGGGGAAGGGCAATTCCGCGAGGTGGGACGAAGCGCTGGAATCTAAGCTGAGTTCCAGTCCTCTTTAGTTAGTTACTGCGTGACTTCGGCAAAGTTACCGAACCTCTCTGAACCAACTGTAAAAAAGAGTCTGTTAAGAATACTCACCTGCGTTCCTGAGAGATGACGTAACCGCGCGCATGCCAACAGGCGCTCTATTTAGAAGGTGCAAAATGCCCAGACTGACCACTGCAGGTGGATTGGCTCGCCGCCCCACGCGCCAGGTTGTGGGTTCTCCTTCGGAGCATGCGCAGTGGGCCCGCAGCGCGGCCCGTCAGGCACTGCGGTAGGCGCCCTGGAGCCTGGCAGGACCCTGACCCCAAGATGGCGGCGCCCAGCGAAGTGGCTGCGGCTGCCTCCGGAGAAGGCGATGGCGTGAGTACCGCCTTTGGGTCCTGGCTGGATGGACGGTTGGAGGCGCTGGGAGTGGACCGAGCCGTTTACGGCGCCTACATCCTGGGTGTCCTGCAGGAGGAGGAGGAAGAAGAGAAGCTGGACGCTCTGCAGGGTATCCTTTCTGCTTTTTTGGTGAGAAGCCCGGACGCGTTCCTTTAGCTTTCTGGCGGCCCCTGTCAGTACTTCGTACCCCCTTTCTCGTACCTGGTGTCCCAGACAATTAGTGGTATCACCTGGGAGAGGAATATTTTGAGCTCTTGGCCGCGGGGGAAGGGGATTTCTCACCAACCAGTGTTTGGGGAAGTCAGGAGGTTGCAGGTGCATAGAGAAGAATGGTTTTCCCTTATTCCTTGGGGACACGGCCCTCTCGGATGCTTGTGGGTGAGCTGGGTGAGTGTTCTTCCGAAGGCGCTGAAATGTCTAAATGAGAGTTTTATCATAAACTCCTAACGACCAATTTCATTCCCATCCATTGACAGTGTTCAGAGAGGGGAATAAAGTGCTCTGGGATGTCTGTGCTCTTTAGGAGGCAGTGCCCAGGGCTGTCCCATGACAAAAAAAGCCTGCAGGAAGTACCCTCTCCGTTCCAATTTTGGAGGTAAGAGTCCAAAAAAGGTAAGTTGGCAGTAAAACTCTAGGTATAGGTCTAGGCCTAGGCGGGAACTGAAGCAAATACTGTGCTTGATCTTTTATAGTATTTAGAAATGCAGTAATCGCCGGTTTTTGCTGGGGGAAGTGGCAAATAAGGTCAGAGTTTTAAAGAAGAGAGATAAACTTGGTACCCAGCTGCTAAGAAGCAGATTCAAGAATTCAGAAATGTGTCTTTTAATCTATGTTTAGGTGGTAAATTACCAGGTTGTCCACTTTTCCAACCTGACCATTCTGCTACCTTCATCTGTGGTTACACTTACTTGGTGGAAACACCATTCCATGATTGGGCAGATGGTTGAAATATAATACTGGTGCAGCTGTCCCAGGTCCTTCTGGCCATGTCCCCCTTTTAGTCCCAAAGCCTGCTCTGGTGAGATTGACCTATAAACGGGAAAGCTTTAACACAGCTTGTGATGCAGCTCATAAGTTTAGTGGAGATACAACACTATGGAGTAAATTCTTTTCCTGGAGGCTGACATTGCAGATCGGTGGGGCAGGGGGAAAGAGGGAGGGTGAGACAAGCAATTTAAGTTAGTTTTTATTTCCAGCTTAGAAGTTTCTAAAGACACCATGAAAAAGAAGTTGAAATAACTTGGGTACCCACTGGTACTAGCTCCTTGACTTGTTCTTTTCCTGGTGTCATTATTTAGGACTGCATGTCTGCTGATAAAGGCAGGCATGAATTTGCTTAGACTATTAAGTTTCTTGGTAGAAAAGAGAAAAGTTATCTAGAACCAGATTTGGTTCTTTATATCTGCTTCTTGTTTACATGAACTATAGTAGACAGACTTCTTTCCCCCTCTCTCTGCCCATTCACACACTATGCTTAATTTTTCTCTTGGTTTTCCCAACCCCTTCTGTATAGGAAATGGCTTTGGGAAGAATTGGCCAGGAATTATATGATGAGGCAGGGTTCATGACACAACTGAGAAACAGCTTTACAGATCAGCAAGGCCAATGAATGGTATATATCAAACACGTCATTCATAGTGCTACTTACTTACTGTCGGTCAGTATAAAAGCCGCTAACTGTTGTACCAAATTCCTTTCCAGAAAAAAACAAAAGGCATAGCCAGATCGATCACCAGATGGGGCTAGGATTCAATATTAGGAATTAAGAAAATGTCAACAACAATTTGAGTGAAGAATCAAGAACAGTGTATCTTGTCAGGAGCAAATAACAGTTAATCAAAGCCTTTTATTATCCTTTTTTTACTCCTTCCAGTAGCATTTTTGTTGACTGATTGATTGATTTGAGTTTTTATTGATAGGTTACTCTCTGCCAAGCACTGCCCTAAGTGCTTGGGATACCTCGGGAAACAAAACAGAAATCCCTGCCCTGATGGGGGGACATTCTAGCAGAGAAAAACTTAATCAGTAAATTATATAGTGCATTAGAAAAATGGTAAATGCTAGGAAAAAAGGAACATACTTTAAGAAGACCAGGAGTGGAATGGAGGGGTGAGTTTTCAATTTTAAGTAGGATTATTACATTAATTGGGATATTACATCTTGCAGCTATTTCTTTTTCTTTTTTTTTTTTTTTAAATATTTTATTTATTTATTTGACAGACATTGATCAGAAGTAGATAGGGAGAGAGAGGAGGAAGCAGGCTCCCCGCGGAGCAGAGAGCCCGATGCGGGACCCGATCCCAGGACCCTGAGATCACGACCCGAGCCAAAGGCAGAGGCTTAACCCACTGAGCCACCCAGGTGCCCCCATCTTGCAGCTATTTCTATACCAGTTTTCTAAATTGTCAGTGTCAGGAGAGCCAGGGCTGTTTCTGATTCTCTTATCACTCATCTTAGTGCCTTCAACATGGCAGGCACTATGTGATGTGGGTGAATAAATGAACAAATGGATGGATGAAGGCTTTTGGTCTGGGTGAAGCCTGGGAGAATAAACCACCTTGTCCTCCAAGAGCACCCTTTCTCTTTTGCTCCTCTCTCCCTTTTCCTTCCATTTCTTCTTCTTTCGCTTTTCTTGCTAGGGGGGTTCTATGAACTACAGAAACTGGGCTAAAGAAGTTCTACATGTTTGTCATTTGTGCTTAAAGGATGCAGGGGAGAGGATGGAATCCTTTGTTGGGTACAAAATAAGGAAATCCAAAATATGGCTTCACCTGGCTGGTCATTCTGTAGAGCATGCAACGCTTGATCTCAGGGTTAGTTGTGTGTTCGAGTCCCACATTGGGTATAGAGATTACTTAAAAAAAAAAAAAGTCTGTGTTCTACACCTTCCTACTTTCTTTGAGAGATGGTATCCTATAATGGTTGAGAACATGGGCTTGGAGGTAGACTGCTTGGGTTCAAATCCTGTTTAATCCATTTGTGTGTGTGTGTGTGTGTTTTACTTGTATGACCTTGGGCAAGTTACTTAACCTCTGTACCTTGGTTTTATCATCTATAAATTGAGAGTAGCAATAGCCCTTACATCTTGGGATTGTTTTAAGAATGAGGAGTTCTTAGGTAAAGTATTGAGAATAGTGCCTGGCACCTGAGCCGACAGCTCATTTTGAGGGTAGAGTATGAAGACGATAAGGTAGCTGTAATGAAGATGGAGGGAAATACCCGGATTTGTTGACATGCCTTTTCTTCGCCAAGCAGGGTAGAGGTTTTTCACACATTCTCATTCATACTCACTAAAATCCTGACAAGATGTGAAGCTCAGGAAGTTAAGAAACTCGTTCATAGATCTGGGCTTGGCTTCCTCTGACACTGAAGCCAACATCCTTTTGTTCTACTGTGCTGAGGAGGAGGATTGGTAAACACGCAGAATATGTCTGCTTGTGTGAAATGGACAGAGGGATGGTTGGATAGGAGACAGCTACTCATTTATCATCTAAAGTGGTGGGGTCCCCAAGGTCGTGGATATGTTCCAGCATCAAAGTTGATAAACCCTGGAAAATGTACTGAGTTGAGTCTATCAGCCAAGGAAGATTTCACAGAGGAGAGTTTTAACTTCAGCAACAGGTTTTTGCTCCAAAAGCATGAGGAAGACTGTTCTAGGTTATTGTGAATCCTTCCCCTTGGTGCTTGGCAGGACAGAGCAGGTGCTTTTGACCTAGCAGGTGTGGATTCTGAGACTCGCCGGATTACTTCTGAGCCTCAGAAAAGGCCCTCAAACCTTCCCCATGAACTCCTCATCACCAGAGGGAGAGCTGTGCCCTGTGCATGGGCTTTGTTCAGGCTGAGGGCTCTCAGGAAATTAATTGGTCTACCTTTTCAACTAGGAAGAAGATTCGCTTCTTAACATCTGCAAGGAGATTGTGGAACGATGGTCGGAAAGTCAGAATGTCGTCACCAAAGTGAAAAAAGAAGGTAGAGTTGGGATTTTTTGCCTGTCTAACCACCAGTGCCTTTTCCAGCAACCTTTCCTATACAGCTGTTAGCAAGAGGATTTTGAGTTTTTCTCCATTTCCTACTCATTTTGCCCAAGATAATTTGAACTGGTAAACACCTGGCAGCTTCCACGAGCTTTTTAACTGAACATTGGTTTCCTTTTCCCCTTTTCTTTTAGAAAGAAAAGTGAAAGCCAGAATGAAGGTGACTGTGGTCCAGTGAGGTGGGAAACCCACTGAGCCACCCAGGCACCCCAGTTGATTTTATTTTAAAATAATCTATGAATTTCTTGGCACGCCTGGGTGGCTCAGTCGGTTAAGCATCTGCCTTCGGCTCAGGTCATGATCCCAGGGTCTTGGGATGGAGCCCCACATCAGGCTCCCTGCTCAGTGGAGAGCCTCCTTATCCCTCTCCCACTCCCCATGCTTATGTTCCCTCTCTCACTCTCTCTCTCTCTCTCAAATAAATAAAATCCTAAAAAAATAATAATTTATGAATTTCACCTGGCATAATCACCATTATGAAAAGGACCAGCATAAGTTGATTCTAGATTCCTTCTTAGGTTTCTGAGTTAAGAGGGGAGAAAGTTGCATGCTTGAAGCTGAATTTTCTATGATTCTAATGCAGAGCTTGTCAACCTTTTTTTTTTTTTTGTCCCTTAAAGCATTAGAACTTCAATTTATAAAACAGGTAAAAGCAGGGCTGCTCTGATCGGAGATGGATACAAGACCTAAAGCCTAGTCTGCGTGGCCTTTCCTTGCCTTTCTCATTGGCCCCCAAGGCACCTCCTTTGAAGCCTAGGGCCCTGAAGAGTCAGCAGATGCCACTCTCTTTCCTGCAAA